TATTTGGTACAAGGTACCCAAAAGTCGTTCAAAGCCCAACCATTGGTTAAATGACATTGCATTTCTATAGGTAACTAATAGTTTGTATTAAACCCGAACTTATCCTACCTATAAATATACTCAGTTTACAATCTACCCTTATTTAGTCACTTCGCTCTCTTTAATAAAAGAGGGGACCTGTGAACTGCCGTTCACTGAGAGTTTGTATACTCTCGGAAGATAACTTCCTCTTGCGCAAGGTGCTGTGTGACCCCGTCACAAAATGTCTCACATTTATTTGTCAAATTAAAACGTCGCTCATTCTCACTTGGTGTCGACGCGTTGGGGGGAGGGTTGTTCTCCTTCTCCTCTGAAAATACTATCCCGCTCTTCATAAAGCAGTGGCGAATTGTCTCTGGAGTGATATCGTCCGTCAACCCACTTCATTCCTTGCAATTGGTCAACGTAGTAGATACCCTTTCCCTCCGGAGCCTTGTGTGGCATCGACTTGTCAGCCCTATCGCACGCCAAACTCATGTGCCTATCGCGATAACCACTCTTTGCTGCCGCAATAATTCCGGCGTCCATTGGCTGAAGATATGATGTATATGATTAAAAGAGTGATGGTCAGTCGAAAATGGTCGATCAATTTAGATATGGTTACAGTACCTGTACCTGTTTTGGTGAACCATTTTCGAAATGTAAAGGGTCACTGACAATAAAAGATATGGTATTATTTATAATAGTCAATTTGGTTAGAAAATGTTCAATTCTGCCCCCCCAATTGGTTATAACTGAATCCGAAATCGCTCCATACAAATATTAAGTCAAATGTTGTCCTTCCGAGCGTCTGATAGGACAAAATGAGCTGTATAGGTCACATTAAAATTCATTTGTCCAGTGCAAAGCGCAAATTGTTTTAACAATTATAAACAGCAAAGATTGAATTTTCAGAAAATGGCAAGCATTCTAAAAACCAAATGATGGTCATTGCATCTTAAATTGTCCGACAAATTTTGGGGAATGACGCTGGTGTCAACGTCGCTGGGCGGGCGGCGCAGCGACGTCTTCTGGACGCGCATATTCCTATTCGGCGCTTCCTGTGTGGCGGGACTCATCATCGCCCGCCGCCGGAAGCTGCACCGTTTTCACCTGCACATCCTGAATGCCAAGTCGGCGGACTGCGGCCGCCTTTTCGGGCTCGATATTGGCGGCACGTTGACGAAAATGGTCTACTTCCAGTCGGCTGACGGTGCGGCCGCGGTGCAGCGACAGCAGATGGAACGTCAGCTCAATCGATTGGATCCACTGACCCCACGCGAGCGGCGGCGCGTGGAGGGCAGCCTGCCTCTCATCGATGACTTCATCATGAGTCTCCACGCCACGGACGAGGCTCAGCGCGAGGAGCGACTGCAGCTGTTTGTACCTGAGCTAGGTGGAACCATCCACTTTATTAAGTGCGTGCTTGAGTGGGTAGATATTTCGAGATTCATTTAACCGAATGACGTTGTTCCTTGTGCAGCTTTCCCACAGCCAAAATGGACGAGATCACAGACTTTGTGCGCCGCCGTTTCTTCCACCGATACATTAAGAAGATCGCCTGCACAGGTGGCGGTGCCTTCAAGGTGGGATACTCCTACAAAAATTCTCTGTTGTTTGATATTCTGACTTCGTGGATGTGTGTCGAATGCAGTTTTCTCCGTTGTTCGTGTCGCCCTTAGGTATCGAGCTGCAAAAGGCGGATGAGATGGATGCACTGATCCAGGGGCTCAACTTTGTTCTGCAGAACGCTCCAAACGAGTGCTTCACGTTCGTGAAGGTGGTTCCAGACACCCAGGGGCTTGGAAGTGCAACAAAGAAAATGCTACCAAAGCTGAACAAGCACGACTTGTATCCGTTCCTCCTCGTGAATATTGGCTCCGGTGTGAGCATTCTCAAGATCACAGGAGAGTCGCAATACGAACGCGTGTCTGGCACGAGCCTGGGCGGTGGAACCTTTCTAGGTCTTTGCCGCGCATTGTCTAAGCTTCACACGTTCGACGAGGCGATGGATGCCAGTGTTGAGGGGGACTCGAATGAGGTGGACATGACCGTGGGCGACATCTATGGTACCGCCGGATATGAGCAGTTCCATCTTAAGCCAGACACAGTAGCCAGCAGCTTCGG